AACTTTGGCCGGCGTGCAAGGGGGAGGATGGAGCCGGGGGAGCCCGCGGCGGCGCCCCTCAACCGGTCCCGAGCTGGGGCAGAGCCGCCCCGCGGGGAGTTCAACCTCTCCGGGCTGCCGGAGGCGGAGGGGAAGCCCCTCTTCGGCATCGGCATCGAGAACTTCATCACCTTGATCGTCTTCGGCTTGATCTTCACCCTGGGGGTGCTGGGCAACTCGCTGGTGATCACGGTGCTGGCGAGGAGCAAGCCAGGCAAGCGCCGCAGCACCACCAACATCTTCATCCTCAACCTGAGCATCGCCGACCTAGCCTACCTGCTCTTCTGCATCCCTTTCCAGTCCACGGTCTACATCCTCCCCACGTGGGTGCTGGGCGCCTTCATCTGCAAGTTCATCCACTACTTCTTCACCGTCTCCATGCTGGTGAGCATCTTCACGCTCTCGGCCATGTCGGTGGACCGCTACGTGGCCATCGTGCACTCCCGACGCTCCTCGGCCTTGCGCGTTTCCCGCAACGCACTGCTGGGTGTGGGGCTCATCTGGGCGCTTTCCTTCGCCATGGCCTCACCAGTGGCTCACCACCAGCGCCTCTTCCACCGCGACGCCAGCAACCAGACCTTTTGCTGGGAGCACTGGCCCAACCCACACCACAAGAAGGTCTACGTGGTTTGCACTTTCGTCTTCGGCTATCTGCTCCCGCTGCTGCTCATCTCCTTCTGCTATGCCAAGGTGGGGCCAAGCGGGTAGTGGTGAAGGGTATGTAAAAGGGATGGGGGGGACAATGGTGGCAGGTGTCCTTGAGCTGTGGGGACATCTCTGGGCACATGGAGGGACATGGCACTGTCGGGAGGCAACGGGGCAGAGGTGAGTTTGTAGCACAGAGGGAGAGGGGCAGGTTTTATAACCAAGGGGTGACTGGGGGTACACGTGCATGTGTGGCACAGAAGGGTCAGGACAGGGATTGCACGGGGTGGGGAGGGGGGGTTTGTTCATGCAATTACTGGGGTCCCCTCTGCCAGGTTTCCTTGTTGCAAAATGCTAAGGAGCCCCAGTGCTCTGCCGCTTTCTCTGTCAACACAACTCTCCTAGTTTCTTGCAGTGCTGTACGAGGAGTTTAACTCAAAGTACAACAAAGCAACAAGTTGTTCAGGCTTCAGACGAAGCATTGTGGTTCTTTAAAATGCAGCGCACTTAAAAATGACACAAATCCACCAGTTTGGTCTGATCCAGTGAACGTGTTAAGAGCAAAAGGTGCGTCATGCTGCCTGGTCCCTGTGAGCCCTGTCTTGCCCCAGTTGAAGTGGATGGGAGGTTTAACCTCTGGCTTCAGCAAGGGCGGGTGGTGGCAGGGAGCAGTGCGGGAGGACCCGGGTAGGAGAAAGCAGTAAGTAAGGGTGCCTGAATAATAGTACTTAAGGACTTTTCTGCTCAGGCTAACTGTCACATTTTTCTGTGAGTATTAATTGCAGCCTTCAGCGTAGGGTCCGCCGCTTGCTGCTGGACAGGATCTGGAGCGCCGGCTGCTACCTGCTGAGTTAGGCAGAGATCCTTCTGTTTCTGGGCCAGCAACCTTCAGTAGAAGGATTTCTCCTTAGGCAGTAATTTACATTCAAGAGGGTGGGTCTGTTCTTGCAAATAAGGGCTGCTTAAGTGTCGAGAAGTCAGTTCTTTAATTGGCAAGTTAAACAGATGTAATTAATGTATTCAGTTTGAACAAATAATTTTATGTTCTGTTCAGTTTTATATGTATTACATCAACTTAATTGTGGTGTGCAAATTAAGGCCAGAATGGCATCCAACTCTGCTAAAACTGAGTTATGCAGAAGTCGAAGGACAACATTTCTAAATTACTCTTTGTAATGAAACAAGTCTGACCTGGCAAATGGGGAAGAAATACATGTTTTCATACATAAACTGAATTGTTTTCCCTGGGTGAATACACTGGTGTTTCATCTACAGTGGTGAACATGACTGAGCTGTGAGAGGGATGAAACTTGCAGTAGCCATAGATCACCAGAGTTTTCCGGAAATATTACGTATTTCAGGGAGACAGTTACCAAATGTGTGCAGAGGGAGCTTTTCAGCTATTAAGAATTCTTACTTGTATTTTTCAAAGCCAAAGCATCTTCATTGTCAGCATAGAGTACCAGCCTTCAAAGTCTAATTATATGACAAGATTGAAAACAAGTCTTTCAATATTATAACAGTCCTGCATAGTATAGGGGGGGGAAAAAAGGAAATGTGCTTAAACAGAATATAAGCATAGTAAATATAGCACACCATGTTGTTACAGAGCACTACAAAAGTAGATATCTCAATATTAGTATGAATATGTAGTTTAAAAAAAACCCAAACAACAAAACAACTCTATGTGAAATACATGCCCAGAACAAGTTAATAAAATCAAGGCCACTCAGAGTTACAACTAAAATCTTGTGCTTAAATTATTGCCAAGGCTAGGCTCTTACCCTTGCTTGGTGATGTGTTTTGAGCCTGTATGTACGATCCTGCTTGCCACAGTGTCAAGCTATATGTAGTTTAAAAAAAACCCAAACAACAAAACAACTCTATGTGAAATACATGCCCAGAACAAGTTAATAAAATCAAGGCCACTCAGAGTTACAACTAAAATCTTGTGCTTAAATTATTGCCAAGGCTAGGCTCTTACCCTTGCTTGGTGATGTGTTTTGAGCCTGTATGTACGATCCTGCTTGCCACGGTGTCAAGCCGGAGGACCCAACCTGAAGGGACGAGTTCTAGGAGACACCTGGGAGATACGTGGTATTCCCATCAGTGTCAATGAAGCTGAGAAATGCCATGGCTTGTACAAGGCTATTTGAGGCATTTGTACCCTGCAGCACCAAGGCTCGTTCCTGCCCTCATTAGGACCCACTGGCAAATCTCCAACTGCCATATTTTGGCACGTGGGGCAGAGTGAGGAGAAGTTAAGGATGATGGGAGTTGAAAATCAGAGCTGAATTTTCAGATTTGTCAAAGCCATTGCTACTCTCACAGGTCTCCAGCAGAGTTGTCGCTGCGAGCTTTTATTGATGTCACTAGAGTACTATGAAGTACAACAAGTATTTTGGCTTCTGGATACATGCAGGGTTAGAGCATCGCTGCTGTGTAATAGCCTCAGAAATATTATAAAAATAAATGCATTAGTTTCTTATGGACTTCACTGGTTTTCATGAACTGTGGATCAGCTAAATAATGCAATCTTCTGATACAGTAGATTAAGACAAAGGAGACTCATTTCTCTATTTGAATATATTGCCATTTCCAGACTCCTTTAAGGCAGTTCTGTTTCTCTTATAAGCAAATTGCAATTGAACTTTCAGTTTTGAAAGTCTCATTTTTTAGGCACTCTAATAGGGAGCCGAGTTCTTTCTCACTCTCTCTTAAATTACGTTAGGGGAGATTTGTATTTTTCCTAGCAGACAGCAAGACTATTACAACCTACGGAAGTGCTGAAATAGTGCTAGGTATTTGGAAACGGCGTCCTCTCACAAAATCAGAACTGGAAATCTCACGTGGTGTGCTCTTAAGGCAGAGATTTATGAGATCGTGCTCTGTGTCATGTGTGTACAGCTACCCGTTTCCACTCTCCCACAGATAACTTTGGGTCAGTTTCAACCAAATTTGATAGAGGAGTGAAAATATCAGAAGGAATGATTTATAACTGACTTTTTGTATGTGTTTTGTAACATTGCTACAATGTTTGCTCACTAATGTGTCCTTAAAGGGCAAAATGATAAATGATTCCCAGTGAGCTTCTAACAATTGACATCTGCCAGGGTAGTGCAATGTGACAACTGATTTTGGGTGCCTCTGCTTTTGAGTACCCAGTGATGAGGCTTCAGTCCTTGAAAGTCAGGCCTCCTTCAATCAAACCTTTAGGTTGGACACCTAAAATCATTAGCAAACTTTTCCTTTTATAGATGTATAATGTTAAAAACTTTTTTTAAAAAAAATATTTCTTGCCTTAAGAATGTTTCCATTATTATCTATCATTCTGAACATTCTGGATTCATGGAAGACGTATAATTTATAGACTTGGTTAAAAGTAAGCCATAAAAAGTAGGAGCCTCAACATAAAATACAAGCTTATATGGTTCTTGGCTTAAGATATTTCTCAAATTTTGCTGAGCAGCGAGAGAAAACTTTATTAAACCACGCTGAAAAGAAAAAAGATACATCAGTGTAACATTATTAAATGAAAGAGGGTGAAGGATCTGTTGTGACAATGGAAGTAGCAGTATTACTTTAAAAAATGGATTGCAGGCAATGGCACTCGAATTTAAATCCAGTTCATACTATAAAATATGGTTCAGAATTTAATGCTCGCATTATGGCTCTGTTAAACAAGCAGTTCATTCTTATTAGATAATGACCTTGGGCAGGCTTTCTTGCCGCATGGTTTTCAATAGCTGATAATGAAGGTGTAGTCAGTGGAATGATTATATACAGCCAGATAGGAAATATGCTTTGCAACAAGTGTAGACTTCAAAATTTATATTGTTTGGTAGACCTATACAAATAGGCATAGATAGCGTAAGCTATTTTTTTCTCTCTCTTATTGGAAAAATCCCTTTTTCAACTTGATTTAGTCATAGTCCCTCAGCCTGGGCTCTCAAACCATCTGGAGGTAGTCCCTGAAACGGCTGAAAAAAAAAATGTTAAGAAACGGATAGTCTGCAGGCAAAATCCAGGGCCTCCCAAATGCCATCAGTGGTAGTTGTGGTAGCAGGGTCCGGACCAGCCTGGACCTTCTTATACTTCTATGATCCTACAAGTCTCCTTACACTCTCTTTCACAACAGCATAACTTTCTTCCCACAGCACCCTGCCCTCATCTCCAGGAAAAAAAAAGAAAGCTATTCCTTCCCTGAGAGCCAAATACACTCTCTGATCAACAGGTACAGGAAGGGTGGAGTCAGAAGAGTTTCAGGTGAAGAGTTAATTTTTCCACAGAGCTGAATTTTTTAAAAATGTGACACCTTATTGGAAAAGGTTGTGACCTATCTTTTAGCAAGGTATTTCATTCTGTGAGTTAAAAATGCATGTGTAAATGTAATAGTGGATATTTTGAAAGACTTTCCTTAGAGAAATAACCTGAGACAAAATGAGAGGCACATGTAGAATTATTATTCGTTCAGGTGAAGTGACAGTGTTTTTTAGAGGAACAATTGATTATTCACCATCCCAGAGAAGAGATAATTTGAACAGGGCAGTGAGGAGAGGTGTCTTTGATTTGCCTTGTAGTGTTTGTGCATAAACATGGCTTTTAATATCCCTCCACGGCATTCTCTGTAGGTCTCTGAGTGCTGTTCTGCTGCTGTTGATAGGTAATTAAATTCTGCCTATTTCTCTTGCTGCTGGTTTGCATACCATCTGGTACACTATCACATAGAGCCAGCACGTTTTCACTGCAGAGACTTATTTTATGAAATATATATATAATCTGAAAGAGGGGAAGTTGAGAAGGATTCGTTGGAAGGTTATCATCTAAATCTTCAACACCCCCCGGCCCCCCAAATACCCAATTTAACAGCTTTGTCTACTGCATCTTTCATTTGACTGGAGAGAGATGCAATGCAAAAATTTGTGCTAAAAGTTTCAGAACAAAAGAAAAAAAAGTTTGTAACTTTAAAAGAAGATTTTGCAGTTCTGATTTCTGGGAAGAGTTTATCTGACTTTAGTTTTGGGCTGTGAGGGAAAATCACAGCACAGTACAGTCTCTGGGTGGCAGGTGGTGGGATTTGCAAAGGTCCAGTAGAAACAGCCCATCGCTGTAAGTTATGTGAAGGGGGTACGATAGGTGAAGCAGCAGTGATGGGAAGTGAACTTCACTGTCTTTCTCCCATGCTCTTTTTGGTTTTTACGTTTTTCACCCATGGACTAAGCAATTCAGCTGTCTTGTACACGGTGACAGCAGGTGAATAGAGTGTGTGAGCCAGAGGATCATCTCCCTGGTCTTCTGCTGGACTTCAGTGGCTCTTCTGTCCTTTCCTTCCAGTCTGCTTCATCCAGGAGAAGGAAGAAGGGCTGAAGCCAAAACCAGACCTTCTCAGAGAAAACCGATTTATTTTTCTTCTGCCTTTCCTGAGCTCAAGTTAGCCTTGCTAGCGACCTGGCTAGTGTTTCAGAATAGGGAGAGCATGCAGGGCTGAGTCTTTCATGCACAAACATGTTCATGCACAGATAAGCACAAATGAACTGCACTTCCCGTGTTAAGTGGTTACAAGTAATTTTTATTTTTATTGCTGTTTGTGGTTCACTGGTAGCTAAGAGTAGATACCTAAAAAGTGGAATCCACTGATGAGCTATGGTTATTCACAAATACCATCTTATTCCTTTTAACTCATTATGTATGTTTCTAAGACCCAAATGCCAGCGTGGGATCAAGTCTATAGGTCATCTTGTCTGGTGTCTGTCCTGGTAGTGGTTAGCCATGCATCCCAAAGAACACAGAGAAAATGTCCCCAGATGATATAAGAGAATTTGAATTTATACCCTTTTCCCCACCTCAAGAAGTCTCCTTATAAACCCTAAATTTTAGTGTTATATTCCTTAAAAAAAATCCTTTTCATGCTGGATGACCTGACCTATTAAATTGTTCTCAGTTCATCTTAGAGCTATGTAAAGTGCAACCTAACATCATCATCATCATCTAACTGAGCTCTACACTCTGACACTCTCTCTAAAAAAATTCCTCTTACCATATTCTAATTAAACCCGCGAGTTTAATTAAGCATCTCGGTTTTTTAATTCCGTATGGTTTACAACTTGTTAAACACATTCAGCTGAAGAGCATATTCCCTGCCCCCATGCCTAGAAATCATGCCATATGAATATATTAGATTCAGCGAATAATGACTGCAGATAAAGTAGGGCATGCACCTCTATGCATCCATTGTCCAAAATCTTATGTGTAAATCATTATGTTAAAATTTGGACCCTGCTCTTGGATGATGAGCCTTTTTGAGACACAGTTTAAAAAATTGCTTGTGAAAGGTACATGACAAGTATCATCAAGTTGTTGATAAAGGTCATGCCTCGTGAGATACTTTTTAGTATAAATTATTTTTGAAAGCCTAGGCTTCTTTTGAAGATCAAATAACACCAACATCCTGATTATATTAACCAAACATCCATCTGAAGAAAGCAAATTACGCAGGTGACTCAGAAAAGCTCTGACTCAAAACATACACTTTTTATGTTACATGCCGTAAAGGTCGTTCTAAATTAACAAGCATTGACATTTTTATGGAAGAAGAATGATTGCTAATTCTAGGTGCATGATAGGTTTCCATTTGTTGCCTTGTTCATTTGTGATACGTATTTGTTATGTAATACATCTGAATTTTTATATAAGAATTAAATTGTCATCTGCTTCATATTTGTTGATCCACACAGATGCAGATATGTAATTCCTTTGGATTTTATACTGTGCACTTTTGAAATGTGTGAATTGGATGTAAGCGACTCTAAAATAGATGGGTTTGAATTTTAGAAAATGGTGAAATACAAGATGCAAATTAATCTTTTCAGGTTCTTAATCATCTGCATAAAAAGTTGAGAAACATGTCAAAGAAGTCAGAAGCGTCCAAGAAAAAGGTAGATTGCTTTCATTACTAATACCTATTTGTTTATATTTTAGTTTTATGGCTAAGCTAGTTTGGTATTATATTGCTTGTTGCCAAAGATGTAATGGAGAGAAGGAATTGAAATGAAGTATTTAATGACGTATTCAGTGTCTCTCTGAACTTAGCAGGACTGGAAGCTTTTCTAATTTGAGTTTTCCATCATAATGCATCAAGCCACTACCTGAGTTCCCCAAATTTTGAACTTCAGAGCATCTGAAATTTAGACACGGAGAGACAACCTGTCTCTAATATTAAATGGCTTTTTTTTTGCCTCACGGGCATTTTTCCCTAACTTGTAAAACTTTTTTTTTCTTTATTTTTTTTAACTAGCTGAATTTTTTAATGTTTTATGAAGAATTCCTAGGTTATACCATGAGACTTTAAAATGAGGTTTATTGTGCTTCCTGATGGGAGTCTAATAAGAGACTTTTAATGATTCTGCAACTCTTCTATTGATTTTCCACAAAACGTTTTTTTCTCTTATGTTCAAGACTTAAGTTATATACTGGTTACAAGCAGAATCATGAAAGGTCTTTAAAGCAGAATATAAGCTTTGCGGTTTAGAGCCATATTTGAAAGATGTGTTTATATATTTAATTTGTCAGTTAATATAATATGGTTCTGATTTTTGAGCAGATTTGACCACAGTAATCATTTGACTAACTTCTCAGTTTATGAATGTGGAGTCAGAAAAACCCCTTAGGCTATAGCTCTTCATTTGATCTGATCACTATTACCATATGGGCATGCAGACTGTCTGCAAACTGTCTGCAATGTAAATGAGATAAGCATGGGCTCAACAGAGAATAACATTCTCTATTTTTTTGAAAAATATCCTAGTCAATAGATTTTAAATCCTAGAATTAAAAGCATTATGGCCCTGATTCCATAAGATACTTAACAGATATACTTTTGCACTTAATGTTGTCAAGGCCAAAGGTGCAGTTTTCAAAGGCGTTTCGTACATTGCCATCTCTACTCTCATCTAAATTATTCTCAAACTGGAAATATCTGTGCATTTCCTCTAAACACTAACTCTTAAAAATTGCAAGCAAAAATCAGATCTGGCTAGGAACTAGCTTTCATAGCTTCAGGGAAAAGCATTACAGATATGCCCAAGACTGCTTGGATGTATCTGGGTTCAGTAAAGGGCAAAAAAAAAAAGCAGCCCAAAACTTTTTTTGCCTTAGAAAATAAGTTTCTGATCCTAAGGCCTAACTCATGTTTTTCAAAGCAACTCTGTTTTCACTAGTGTACAGTATCTTTCTTCTTTTCCTTCTACTGTTTTGTTAAGAATGCATTTCAGGCTTAATGACACATTTCTAGCTTTATTCCAGCCTTTATGAAAATTTCAGTAGTAGAATCTTAAAATGAATTTGCTATATGTGTGGAAAAAAGTTAACGAAAAGTATGAATGTGCCTAAACACTATTTTTTGTGCTTTTTGGTCACAAAGCATCAATATTAACATCATGTATTTCAGGTGGGTTTTATTTGCTAATGACAAACCCTAAGCAAGCTCCCATCAGGTAAACAAGAGCTGCCCTTTAGCGTTACCTTGGTTGCGAGGCATAGTGATGATTTTGAAAAGGTAAGCTCTAAAGTTAGGCTTAGGAGGAATAATGGGATAAAACAGATGTTGTGAGGTTTCCTAATGCGAAATTACTTATTCTGCAGGTACGAAATACCTTAAGTAAAATAGTTACAAGAGACACATGGTCAACCTCTGCTTTCAGGCACATCTATACGGTCTATTGAAAGTAGTGATTTTCCTGGTGTAATTTTTTTTAGAATTTTGAACACACTGAAGTTTTTTGCCTCTTTTGAAGTACTTGTGCATGTGGTATCCAGACAATCAGTTTTCAGTTGGAATATTAACACATTGAAGGGATCAGAGAATGAAATCCTCTTAATTTGTACTTCCTTGTTAGCACATATTCTCCCGATGAGACCTGAAAGAGAAAATATTTGTGTGGCTGTTTGTTAGTGGCAACTGACTCAATCTCCATAGGCTAAGTAGAGGAACGGCTTGTGAAAACAGATGAATCCTTGAGACTAAACAAATTGTATTTACTACAGATATAATGTCCTTTGGTTTCTATTGTGAGATTTTGCTAACCAACAACGGTATCTGTCATAACTTATTTTGGCCTGTTGCCACAGAAATCAAACTTTTTTTTCTGTAAGTTTCTGCAAGTTAAGTCATGTTGTGATTAGGTAGGTCAGTCTGAATTGCTACTGAGCATTAATAAATTCAAGAAGTATAGACCAAGTTCAGTAAACTAGCAAAAAGTCTAGATATTCTCTGTGCTGCAGTATTTATCACTCTGTGGCCACTGCGTTAGTTTTGCCTGTGAAGAAGAGCCTAAGTTATCTGAAAAATTATGTTGTAAAGAGTTAATATAGTAATTATAACGGTCCATAACATAATATGCTTTGGAATTAATATTAGGCTTTTATTGGGAGAGTGATTTAGTTGAAAGAGGTACTTGTTAGAGGAGTAGATATTAATTAGTTGAGCAACTGCAAAGCACTAGCTGCTGTTTCTTAAGTAGCTGAAAGTTAAAGAAAACATTGACAGTCAAACTCCACTGTGCCCTGGCAGGATACCTTCAGCACCTGAAAGGTCCGTACTGACTGATACTGTAGCTGCCTGGATGGATCTAATGAACTTGATGGCCTTTCCTCTCAAAAATAACGAAAGTGGAGTCAGGAGGCAGCACTGGATATTTTGTGTTCCATTTTTCTGAATTCAGTGTTTGGTGAGCTTTAGTTTCCAGATTGGTTTTGACAATGTGCAGTCACGAGAAATTTTAAGCTCCTTACTTTTCTCTTTTTTTCCCTAGTTGTATCCCAGGATATTGTTGTATGACTCCCCCTGTGGAAATTTTATGTTTAAAGGAGAGACTTTCACAAAAGTCCCTGCTCCTTTTGTAGGCACTTGAGCAAAGTGTTTGTCTGACTGCTCGAAGCTCTTCCACTAGCTGCCTTCGTGTATAATAGATCTCTCTTGAAATTTTGGTCAGAAATCCTTGTGCACCGCAATAAAATATAGATCATTAGATCTGGATGAGATTTCCCAAAGACCTATTGTTATAATTATTTTACACCAAGCTTATGTCCACCTCAGAAAAGGCGAGGCTTTTGTGTAGGGAGTCAGGAACATCATTCTTCACCTTCGAGCAAAGTTATACACTTGCCTTTCACTGTGACATTTTCAAGGCTAAGGTTCTCCTTGCAGTAGTTCACTATGCAAAATAAAGCCCATATCGGTAATGGAGTAAAATCAGTAATAATAAATATTCTTGAAGCGAGTTTAAAGCTGGTTCTTCAAGTGCTCATCAGACATCTGTGTTTTCCTTTCCCTGTCTCAGACAGCACAGACCGTGTTGGTGGTGGTAGTGGTTTTTGGCTTCTCCTGGCTGCCGCATCACGTGATTCATCTCTGGGCTGAATTTGGAGTTTTCCCACTGACTCAAGCCTCCTTTCTCTTCAGAGTAACTGCACACTGCCTGGCTTACAGCAATTCTTCTGTGAACCCGATTATATACGCATTTCTCTCTGAAAATTTTAGGAAGGCCTACAAACAAGTCTTCAAATGCCAGATAGGTAACAAGTCACCTCTGAATGATGCTAAGGAAAATAAAAGTCGGATAGATACACCACCGTCTACCAACTGTACACACGTGTGAACTTTGAAAAGTCCTGTATGTTGGCTCTTCATTTGTGTGAACTAAACACCTAGAAAACAAAGCACAATGAGCTTTATCCTGGGTTTATCGTGATAAAGCTAATTGGTATTTAATGTACCGAAGTTGCATTTGTAGCAAAAGTTTGTGAAACTGGTATGAAAGAAAACTGGGCTGATCCTTTGCATCTTAGATAGCTTTGTCAAATGAAGCTCTTGGACCTTTAAAAGATACTTGAGAAAAAAATGTTGGAAATGATATGTCTGTGTTCTTACTCACTAAGCATATGGTGTGTAAACGTTCAAATATACAAGGAGGAAATGTTGATATGGACAAGTAACTTTCTAACATCTTACTCCATCGAAGTGAAGAGATGGCTAAATTTTCTGTCTTACAGATAATAAATACCGTAATACTATGATTTCAGAGAGGAAAACTTTTGTGCTCTCTTCAGATTGTTTTGACAATGCTTTTTCTCTTTTTAAAGTAAAGATGGGCTCTGATTCGCAGTTGAAATAACCCGTATACAACTTGAGGCAATTGCTTTAGAGAGGAAATGCTAATTTTATCTGTTTAGCTGTCTTTTTAATGTAACATACTGAGTAATGATGGACTTTTTTCCACTTCATGTGCCTGCCTTACTGTATACACAGAACTTTTGTGTACGCTATATAGGGTTTTGTTTATGGCCTGTATGTAGTTGTACCAAAATGAGGATTTGTGTCTATCTGAGGGAGGCTTTTTTCATGTGTTGCATGTGCGCGTGTGTGTATGTTTTGTTAACTTTATAGACTTTGAGATGGAGATACAGTTTTAAATGTGCAATGTGTACATATGTTTTAAAATACTATGCTCCATAAAGCAACTCTGGGCAATGCTTAAGCATTTAAAAATAGCATTCCCTTAAAAGTTGTAGGAGGGGCTTGATACCGTGTAGCTCTAAATTGGAAAAATTCAGAAGGATGCATTTAAATCAATACAAAGTATATGAGGTAAATGGTCCAATTCTGCAAATTCTTAAATAAGATGAGTAGTTTCAGCAGTTTTATAAAAGTATTTAATATGTCTTTAAGTGGTAAACCACTAAAGAAGTAGCAGAAGGGCACTCAGTCCTTTGAGAACATTATTGTTAGCCGGAGTAAGATATGATTTTACCTTTTTTATTAATGACCCATAGACTCACAGAGTAAATTAAGTTGGAGGAACCTCCGGACATCCTCTCAAGGCAGGGCTACCCTCAGCGTTGGCTCGCTTCCTTGTCTAGGCAAGCTTTGAAAATTTCTAAGGATGGCGATTCAATGATTTTTTTGGGGCAACCTGTGTCAGTGCCTTATCACCCTCACTAAAATATTTTTCTCTTATCCCCGGTTGGGATTTCCCTTGATGTATCTCGCGACCATTGCCTTCTGTCCCTTCGCTGTGTACTTAAGTCTTCTCTCTAACTAATATGTAATTTAAGATGGCAATTAAATTTCCCCCCAGCCTTCTCTTCTGAAACAATGCGTCACTCCCAGTCTCTCCTTATCTGTTGTGCTCCAGCTCCCTGGCTGGATTAGTGGCCTTCCACTGGCCTTCCTCCATCCAGTGTATCCATCCCTCTCGTGAACTGGGGTGTTCAAAACTGAACAGTGTGTTCCAGATGTGGCCTCACGAGCACTGAGTAGACTAATCGCTTCCCTTGACCCGTTGGCTGATTCTTGCTAATACAGCCCAGTATTACAGTAATTTGTTGCTGCAAGGGTACACTGCTGACTCATATTTAATTTCTGCTTTACAAGAAGTCTCGTGTCCTTTTCTACAGAATTGCACTGAGTCCCAGTCCAAGTTTCAGGACTTTGCTTTTGGCTTTGTTGAACTTCATGCATTTGATAGCTGTTACTTCCATTCTTCCGGCTTCTCAAGGGCCCTCGGAAAGGTAGCCCTGCTCTCCAGCATATCCACCGCTCCCCCGGGTTTGGTATCACGTGCAAACTTGCTGAGAGAGTCCTGCACCCTTTTTGGGTCTTTGAAGATGCTAAATAGTGTTGGCCAGATGCTCTGTCAGATTCCTTTTTCTCCACAATCTTTCTTAAAAAAAAAAAAAAAAAAAAGTTCAGAGTGGTGGAACCGCATCAACTATGGAGGGTTAGTTCACATGAAAATGTCTACATTTATGTGTCAGTATTGTCTGCTTGGAGTCAGTAAGATAATGTTGAAGACACGCTGTTGCATGCATGGTGTTTGTGTCCATTCTTTCATATGAAGAGACAGTTTGATGATATTGCTAGGAACACAAAATATATGAAAAAACCCTCAATCGGAGAAGAAGGGTTTATCTGTGCAGGAAACCATTTTCTGGGTTAGGATTGAGGTTAGGAAACACAGCCTAGAACAACGTTGAAGTTCCTTTGAGTTTTCAGATCCTCATCACCTACTAATCATTCAATTATTAAAGCACTATCAAACTTCAGCTGAATTTATAACATACTAGGAGATTCTGCAGCTTCAAAAATTGTATTTTTTTTGCTTTGAAAAAATTGCGTGTGATTTTATTACTTTGAATAAAAAATTACAATGTAAATATGTAATTGTATAAAGTTAGAAAAAGCTTTTTTTTTTCCTTAATTGTACATAATTGCAAAACCAGGTGCTTGATAGTAATGGAGCTACATCTGTTTGAAATTTTAAGGATGAGGAGGTGGGGGGGACTGCAGTAACAGCTAGTTAGAAAGGCCTCACCTGGTTCCTGGTGAGTATCAGTAAAACTTCTGCCTTACTTTTCAGAGAAACCTTAAGAAGCAGCTGGCACGCCAAGGCTCAATTTCCTGCCTAAAACACGCTTTTGTTGATCAGTGTCTCTAGCGTGACTTTGACGTAATCAGCTGTGACACGGAGGTTGCGAATGTAAAAACAGTGTTAACATATGCTGTGAACTGTGTCTAACCCCTGAGCAGCTGGACAGTTGGGCAGGAAATTGTCATGCCACAAAAATGGCTAATTTGGGCAGAAAATCAGGGAATGGGCACTAATGATCCCTTACAACTGAATGTCTGCTTGTCTGCTTTCAAGTTCTGAACTTGTTGGTGGGGATCGTTATTTCTGGTTGAGGATGAAGCAAAAGTTTCACCTCATTTACTTGCCTAATGTGTTTTTTTACATCTTTTTAACCAGAAAGGTTAATTTCAGTGTACGCTGAAGTAAAAAAAAAAGAAAAAAAAAAAAGATTTCTCTGGCTAGGGCTGAGTTTTCCACTCATAGAAAGATGAATAATCCCACTGAATTCCACCCTGTTGTGTGAATTTGAAAATATTATTCTGTACAAAACAAAATAGGCAACAGGAATGATTACTCAAATTCCTCTTGAACTAAAGCAAGATATGTGTGTGTAATTAAGCAAATACTTAAATTTCTCTTAAATTATATTTCTCATCAACTGAGAGAATTGGAGAACCCCAACAGAAACTGCTACTCATATTTTTTTATAAATTCCCTGAAATTTTATTGTATGTATACTGCCAAAATGCTACCTCTTTGTGCTGCTTCACAAGTGTCTCCTGAAGTTTAAAACGTACAATGCACTTTGAACACTGATGACAGAAGTAGTGTATCCCATCATATCAAGTAGTAGGAGTTGTTCAGTCCATCTTAAAACTGTGTTTTAGTAGAGAAATGTAGAAGTCTTTCCTTGTCATAGTTTTCTCTGCAGAGCGGATGAAAGACCCGTGGAGAGGTAGCATCTCTTCAGCACCTCATGCTGATGTGAGAGGGTCTCCTTTCTTGCAGGCTCTAGAAAGGAGCTCAGTCCTGTCTGTTTTCTGAGGTTGTATTAGGACATTGCAGCAGGTTTCTAGCCAATTTTGCATTTTATATTTTGGATTTTTGAGTTTCTACCTTTTGCCTTAAAAAGATGCAGAAATCTCATTAAAACACTGCACCAATGGAACTTTGAAATTGCAAAAACTGATGTTTAAAGAGGTCAAGAAATTATTCCATCAAGGTTCTTCGTGCAATGTTAGCCCTGCCTATTTGTGGGTAGGTGTTTGAGGTACGACACAAAAGATTACAGCAGTGCTCTTCTTCAACTAATAAAACCTAAAATACATTTTGCATCCTCCAAGATATGCGTGGATCCAGATGCACACTGTGCACTACTATACATAAATCAGATTTAGGATCCATATCCAAAATGGAAAGAAAAAAATTAAATGGCCCTTAACCAACATAGTGTTCATCACATGCAAACACCCTGAAAAATGCTGGGACTTGCTCATCTATGTGTTTGGCTTGGCTAACTTTACAGGTAATTGTATCACTCATTTAACTAATTTTCAAGATGGTAACCATTTTAGCGGAAAGGGAAGCTAACGCTTAATGGCCGCTTCTGAGTCATTAAACTACGCAGTTTTCAGTCAGAAGTATGTACTAAACATTTATGATATCTAGTAATGTAAACATTCAGAATTGCCTAAAATTTCTATCTTGTATCAAAAATGTAGAATTTCCTAATATTTCTCGTATGTCTAAGGTAGGTAACAAAATCATATGCTATAGTAGATTACAAAGAGATGACCAAACTGGCTGAAATTATATGTAAAAAATGATTATGACTGTATAAGGAGCAAACTTTAATTTTGTAGTTGAGTGTTTGTTCCCATCTGCAATCTTAATATTCTTTCAATATTTTGTATGATGAAGTTAATTGGATCTTTGATTATTTACAAATTCTTCTGAAGTTTTTTTTCTAAATTTAAACATTGAAAAAAACGTATTTTCAAAACCATTTAATTTTTGGCAAGATAAGACACTTTAATGACATGTTTTAAGTTAAAGTCCTTTGAGCTTTGTATTCACTTTCACTTTGTATGCATGCACCTCTTTCTTAAAACCTTAACTTTATTATTTCTATAATCTATTATATCTTCATTTTTTAAAAATAATGTCACTATCTCCAAGAGGTAAACATTAAGCTTCGTATATTTATTGTTGCAGTGAAGTAAATTTTACATTAAATCCCACATTGTAGGGAAAGGGAGGGATCTTTTTATAAAATAATGTTGTGAATGCATTGTTTCAGACATTATCTTCATGGTTGCTACAGTATGATGTGTCAGAATGAACCTATTGATATCTGTGGTATTTTGGGAAAGGATAAAAGCAGAGAAAAGAACAGCTTCTAGCTTACAGAGCTTGTGTTAGTGTTGTGTATTCAGTACAGGTACAAATGTTGAAGACCAGAAAATTAAAATTCTGTGTTTGTTTCAATGTATAATGAATGTAAAGTAACATGCAGTTGTTTTAAGATATACTGTACTTTGCATGAATTTTCAGGTGATTTTTTCAATAGGTCTGTACCTACCTGTCTCTGCTTATCTCTATAATATGAAATACAAACTGCTTTTCCTACCAAATGTTTTCATAATATTTAAAAACAAGCAGTGCCCTCAGGAAAACTTCCAGAAAAAATAGCATACACAAAACTCTATTGAGTTTCATGGCTAGATGTCATTATGGGTCGAAAATACCTTTTTGAAAAATTAACTGATATAAATAACATTCTCATTTTCAAGTGCTTAAGTGCATGAGGCGTGGTCCTCCTTTCTTTCAGGCTGGTAAAAGTCAATTGAAGTTGATGGAATTCATTGATATTTCTTATTCAAGTGCAATTTAAATCTCTGTAATTTACGTGTTGCTTAAGAGACATACAAACAGAGCCAGATCCATGTATTTGAATATGAAAAGAAACAAAGCTCTCCAATGATGTGAAATCCAAACCTATTTTATTATATGAAAGCCTGTATGTGGCTCCACTTTCAGAAGGAGGCAGTCAAATCAGTGCATATTTGTGTGTAGATTTGCATTAACATCGAGCAATGGCCATTTCAATACGGTAAAAATAGCTAGATGAGCATGAAACCAGAATATGATCAGTCCTATACCTAATGACACGTACTTTTAAAAACAAAAGTAAATGCTACAGCATGGATTTAAAATGGTGTGCACTTTAATCTCTCAGTTTTACTGTGGAGTTCTTAAATGATCATTTGTATATGCATATGTACTTGACATTTGTAGATACATCGGTGCGCTTTGGCCAGATACCTTTACTGGATGCAGACTGAGGTCTCATTGTATAGAACTATTTCCTTAAGTGCAGCATTCTCCCCTTGGAAAACTTTGTACCATTTCCATTGCGTGGTTATTCCATTCCCTGATAAACATCTAACCGTATTTAAAATTTGCTTGTAGATGTGACATTTATAGATGAAGTGATGACATGATGTTATTTCTTTACATTGAATTTCACAATTTAGCACAAGCAAACTGGTAGTTTTAATATAGTAAAATGAAAAGTCATACATTTAGGAATGAAGAACATGAAGGAATCTTTAAGAACTGATTATTGTACTGGAAAAGGATGATTCCGAACTTGTCAGTTTAATTAAACATAACCTCCAACTCTGTGTAACTGAAAGGACTTGCGTAACCCCTGGAATGATGAATTCGGGATGTGGCGGTACCTGGGGTTGTGTTACTGGAAGCACTGCTGCAAACAGGGAGGCTTTTGCACAAAAAATCCCAAAACACCCAAGCTGAAAAACGTCAGCAGTTCAGCTTAGCGGGATATGGTTAAGAAGCGGCTTAATTACAGCATAGCTCTGTAGCCATGCAGACAGAGAAATACCTGATGCTGTGCCGCTCTTAAATGAGTGGATGAGTTAGCGAGATCCAGTACAGTGAAATTAAGCTTTAACAGTTCAATCTGTAAATGAAGTGGAAGTCTTTTCATTAAGCCATGCATATAAATAACCCCAGAATGCTTAATGAACAAATGTGACATATTCATCTTGCTTCAAATCACATTTGGGTATTTCTCAAAAGATTTTATGTGTTTAAATCTCAAAATATGGACTAGGTAGTAGCACTGCTATGAGAAAAAAAATGCAGCCTATGTTACAGAGAATTTAGACCTGCTGATCACCGTGGTCCCTTCTGGCCTTAGTCTATTAGCATTCTTACTCTTATTTTTGTAATTAATAGTATGAGAGCTATGCATATATGAATTAAAAACACCACAAAACCGAGCT